TTAATATTTCCTAGAATCTTACTTTTATTAAGCTTTTTTAAGAGCCAAAGAAGTAGGTTGTTTTTATGTTTTTTACAATAAAAAAAGTTCCTCCCTAATATTTGACACTTATGAATGTATTTGCAACATGTTGAGTTGTATGACACTTGTTATAAATTCGCCACCAGTGACAGTGACAAAAGTAATGACATTGTGCTGTCTTCATACGATTCCATTTTTTTGTTTTATTAAATTCGCCAATTAAAAGCAACGAACAACAAAAATGGCCTGAGGCAATGTCTATTCTTTTTCAATCGTAGGCAACAAAAAATGTTAAAAATATATGTATATATGTATATTTGTATATATAAATAATGAGCTATCACATATGAGTAGTCTAAAATAGCTTGTGGTTGCTTATGTCTGCGCGAAAAGAAAATCAATTTTAATTTAGACACATTCAAAGAGAGGTTTCGCAAAGCGAAAAAAAATAAATAATTCAATATAATATAAAATGAAAAATAAAAAAATTAATCTACAAACCGATTTCAATTTCTACTGTCCCCGCATGTTTTATGCACCCATTACCCACACATACGCATCTATGCACCTACAGTCAAGCGTAGCCCAAATGTGTTGACCAATGCACTGTCGCACTGCCAAAGGAGCAGCCAACGCCTACGCCGACGTCAAGGCGGTAGTTCGCATTTCACATTTGCGCTACTCTCTGGTGGTGTTTGGTTTTAAGATTTATAATGGCAACAGCTTGTTGCAAACACTGCGTAGGTGTTGTTGCATGCCATATCAGTGGCAAAAGCCATTCGGTTGACGCTCTGATTCGGTGCAATTTGAAAAGACTAGTCAAACGCATGGCGAAAATGTTGAAGCACACTCATACGCCCGCATATTTCCACATTCACACAGACACACGCACCCACATACAATAGATACAACTGTATTGCATGCGTTTCCCGCTGCTAACAGCTTGATATTACTTGCTTGCCGCAAACAGTTCGACGAGAGACACAATTTTTGCAAAAAAAAAAAAATATATATATGTATATCTACAAACAACAGACAGTTGGCACACAAACGAGCAAAATAAATTAATAACAAATAATAAAACTGTCAAATGGCCATTGGCTCGGCGACATTTGGAGGCCAAGTGCGCGTTGAAACAAATCTATGTCGGTTAACTTACAATAAAGTAAAAGGGGCCGTGTGGCTAGGTCGCTTAGCTTAATGCCGTTGTCTAATGTAAAAGCGACTGCAGTCACCAGCTGTCCAGCCGCAAAACGAAAAGAGCCAATTAGAGCTTTCACTTGCGAACAAAATTGTATGGATTTATTTCATATATTCGGTACAAATAGTTCGTGCATAGGATTGCAATTACTTCTACTACTATTTTCAGTGATTTATTATACATTTGCAAGATATTTTCTTATGTGCGGCGCTCTCTTTTCGTTTACAACAGTTTGCCTCCCGCAGTTATTGCGAATACTTTATTAATTTCCCACATTTCAAATATGTTGTTGACACTAAAATAAAGCGCCTCAATTGGGATTTTCAAACTCGCTGCGGCATTTCTCCGCTTAATCGGAGTTTGGCTGCATGCATGTGTGGGTGTATGTCATTTGGGTGTGCAAGTGCAACAGTTACTGTGTGTGCGCTTTTCAAGAGTAAGAGCTAAATCGTTGTGGGTTTTATAATATATTCAAATTCATATTTAAAAAAAAAACTCACTTTCAGCTGTTAACAATATCTTAAATTGGCACCTGAACATATTAGTTTTGCCTATAAGTAAAATAATCCAAAATATTTCACTTACATAGCATGTAATGTTAATTTTTTTTTGGTGCTTCGTACTAGTTGTTAACTGGAATCCGACTGAATTAGTTTTTAAACCAACTAGTTCATCTTAAAAACTGGTTCTACTGTTTCCGGTATTCTAAACGGTTGAAGCGATGTAAAAGACTTATTTGTGTGTGTTCAGATAGACTTGAGTATGGTTTGAAAAACTTCTTTCAGGGGCTAACTTTACTAAAAATTTGGTATATTATTTCTTTCTAGGAAGTGGATCAGATATCGATCTATGTATTTGTAGCTTAACTAGGACTGTTTATCACATACAATACAACAAGTTATAAAAAACACAGAAACATATAGATGTTGTAATTGTTGTAGCGATAAGGACTAATAACCAGTCCAGTTTTTCTTTTGCAAAGGACAAACTGGTATAAATTTGTTCGCAAAATACTAGTTCACATTCTATTGTAGAATTTTTTATTCAAACTAGTCCAGAGTTTACCGAAAAATACTAGTATAATTCTAGTCTATGACAAACTGGTATATTTTTGTGCACTAAATACTAGTATAATTCTAGTTTTCACAAAAATCATTATTATTTTGTATTCAAAATACTAGTATTTAAGTTAAATTTTTGCATACTAATCTACCTTTTCCCTGCAGGGTTAGTAATCGTTTATTAGATGCGAAAAGATCAAGGCATCTGATCCTGTGTGATGGGCTATCACTGCAATGATTTTTGCCGCAGTTGTAGGGACAAAGAAGAGATAGAGCGACCAGTTTTAGCATCTGTTCGACACAAGTTCTTCGAGAAACACTTCTTTGAGATTGCTTTGTTATGCTAGCTGCAACAATTTGGTAGTCTCGTTACTCACATATATAAGACACACGAAATGGTACGAATATTTGAGAAGGTGCAGATACAAGCTTCACAGCGGCACCAAATTGGCTTATCGGCCTACTACTTATTGATTAGATTTTTTTAATTGTGATACTCAATAGATGAATACTTATCGCGAATAAGATTAATCTCATTAAACATGAGCATAATTCTGGTTTGAGCTAAGAATTTCATGCTAATTGAATGAGTTAATATTATTTGTTAAAATTCATATTGAGTTAGAGACTAGAGAAATTAATCAATCACATCAATATACTATACATTATACCATACATACACATACATATACATGACATATATCCTTACTTAGTATGTGCTTCCACAGGCATTTCAATTGCCGCCATAACAATTCGATTACAAGCGATAAGGATCTTCTGTAAATTTCTACTACGGACTACAACACGACATGCCGAGAGGCTGACCATCAATTTTAATTTCATGGCAAGTAAATTAGAAAAATACCAAATATGCACAAACGCTACATTGCGAACATTTATGCACACATCTACAGACATTTACATACATTGCACTTACATATAGTACATATATAATATTAAAATCGATCGCTTTGAGCGCGCCATATCAATAGCAATCAGTGCACAGAGATACTACAGCACGATATGATCTTAGCAAATTATTTATATGTATGTAAGTGATTTTGCAAAGCGTTGCACTCGCTCCACACCGACAACTCTGGCAATGCGCTGACCAGTTTGGGCTCCATTGCACAGATGAAATCTTTCGTTTCATACGGCGAAAAGGCGTGCAACCGACACACGTACTTACATGGTCAATTACGCGCACAACAAGTTGGTTAAAATGTAATTTTCGTTATGTAAATGTGTTAAAATTGCTTAGATAAATGGGTGCGTCGCAGTAATTTTTGGAAGATAGGCGTAAATGGTGATTGGATGAAGAGGAGAAAAATAGAGAAGGAAAGAAAAATACAAGCAAATAATTTAGCCTTAAAATTTAAACATTAATATATACATACATTAGTAAATAAAGATAAATGGCGACGTTTGACTAACTAGAGGTAATGTCTAACAGAGCACAAATTACGGAGCAAAGTGACTTTGTTACAATTTTTACAACGGTATATTAAATTATAACTTTACTGTAATCTTAACAAACGGGATCTCATTATCCACCACAAAACTGCAGGCATATTTCTTACAAAAATACAGTATTGCACACTTTTATTTAAGTGTCAGAAAAGCTAAAACGTTTAAGAATTATGTGTATTTAAGAGCACTAAAAAAGGAAAAAATATGGCCTACATTTTGGCGCATAAACTGCTTTAACAAAATAAGACTTTTGGGAGATTTTAAATGAATTTTTGGTAATTCAGGTAATTTTCGAAGTTTAGCGGACCTTGGCATTAAGCAGAGAATAATTATGAGTTAAGACTGAATACACAGGGTTATTAATTTCGCTGTTTTGGAAATAAACGCAAATAAAATGCGTTTAAAATATTTTTTTTTTTTAATGAAATTTCTTTTACTTAAAAAAGTGTGAACTTTGGCATTATAGGTGAAACAATACAACCCTCAAATGACTGCCTCGCAGATTTTTGTAAACGATCCGTTTGAGATAGTTTTCAATTGCTTTTTGCTACATACTGAGCGGTATCTACGCCATAACAAACCTGAAAAAATTTAAAGGCAAGCAGCTGACAAACTTTATGTACATACTGATATGCGTGTCAATATGTATTAACTACGAATATGAAGCTAAAGTGTAAGGCATATTAATTATAAAGATAATTTGCCTTGCTGCGCTCAAGTTTATATTTATTTATTTTAAGTAGAAATTTTCTGCTTTTCACTATATTTATTTATCGCTAAGTTTATTTAATGAAAAACTTCATTTTTTAGACATAGGAAATATACTCAATATAGATAAGGTTGAAGAGTTATTTGAACAAAAAAAAAAAAAAAAAAGAATAAAAATAATAATAATAAATAAATATAAAATAGTTGACGTAAGAATGTAGAGAGAGAAATTTATTTTCAAGGCAATTGATAACTTATCTAAGAATAGAGTGCAGAATATTTGTGTGGAAGCGTGGAAGGAATTCCCGAGAGCAATGTAGTGTTGATTGAGCGTTAGAAGTGTGAACACCGTTGAAGGTTATTTATTATGTTTTACGACTTATTAGATTTACAGCTAAGTGGAAGTGAGCGAAATAAAAAAAAAAATATTTTTTTTGTTGAAAGTTTTCACTCTTTTATATTTTTTTATTTTATTAAAATTCAATTGAAAAATATTTTTTTAGCTAATTACATAACTATTTCTTCACTCCTCTTTGCAGCTGACAACGTAATCAGTTGATAAAAAGCGATACAACACAGCGGCTCGCTACGCGACGCGCAGCAGCAATTTTGGGCGGTTTCACACCTACTGGCGCCTCACACTTAGCCCAGCCTAGTCATTAGAAGTCACACCCGCACCTACATACACAGGTTAAGGAAAATGTCGCTGTCACATACACACTCGCCAGCGATTAAGCTCCCTTTAGCTTATGCTTCTTTGTTGCTACTCTGCGCCCTACTCGTCCAGGGTTCGCCCGCGCCGAATAAGGAGGTCGCAAGCAGCAAGGTGAATAGCACAACAACAGTAGCAACAGCCTATCACTGCCCTGATGACTGTGAGTGCACTTTGGCGCACAATACGCACACACCACTGTTGCACGCCAAATGCACCAGTCTCGAGGGTTTACGCTCATATGAAGCCACAGAGACCTCACTGCCCATACACTCGCTAGATCTATCCTATTTGAATTTGAAGCGTCTCTCACATCCTTTGGAGAAACTGCCCAGTGTCACATCCTTAGATCTCTCACACAACGATTTGCATGAGATCGGTCATCTCGGTCGACGCATTAAGAAGTTGAACCTCAAACATAACCGCATCAATTCGAGCAAGTTGACCAAACTGCCGGCACATGTACAAGTCTTGAATCTGCAACACAATGATATCACTTATTTACCATTGGAAATGACACGCCTCTCTAATTTAGTCACACTCGAGTTGAGTCATAATCAAATTAATTGCTCTTGTGAGACATTGGCGGTGCGTAATTGGTTGCAGGAACGTCATGTATTTATGGAACACGCCGTCACATGCACGTACCCCGTCGAGGTGAAGGGCAAGCCATGGTTGCAGGTTAAACAGTCGGATATTTGTGAGCACGAGAAGAATGGTCGTCTCACAGATGAGGAGGATAACGAGCTGATGATGGGCGATCAACCAGTTGAGGGTTCCGGTGATCAGGATGATGAGGATGAGCTGGGCAATTCATTCATACCACTGGACAAAACGAGCACACCCAAATCTAATGTCGTACAATTGGATACAGTTGAGGGCTCGGGTGATTTGAGTGATGTGAATGCACCTGTGAATTTGGCGATGACAACTGTGCTGCCAGCCGTAGAAAGCTCACAGGAACATGTTACAACGGATGCGGCACCACTGCCAATTGAACAGGAGGAAGACGATGATGATGGCTCGGGCAGCGGTGCCGGCATACTATTAATACCCAGCATTGCACGTGGTCACTTTATCACCGATGATTTTGAGGCACCCAACGAGGATGATACTGATGATGCCTTCGACAACAAACCAGTGGAACAGCCTACGCCAGAGGAAGAGGACAGTCACCACAAGCAAGCCGCTGACATCTTTGGTAACGGCATGGGCATATTCGAAACAGGTGATAGCGGTGCTAAGCATACATCGGAGTCACCAGAAGTTACCGAAGAAGCGATCGTGCCAATTGTGCAATATAATGGCGAGTCAGAGAACGTGCCCAATTTAAGCACGGAAGGTCCAACGAATGGCGAATCCAGCGCCATTTTAACAGCGAATGTGAGTGGCGAGAAAAAGGACGAGAGCAACGCCACCTACTTACTGCTGGGCGTGCTCGGTTTCATTGTAATCGGCTTGATACTCTATGTGGGCATCAAGCGCTGCAAACACAATCATAATGCCGCACACGATGCCGAAAATCCACGCCAAACCGAATTACTCGACATGGATAAAAAGAATTTGGGCAAACCGGTGCGTAATGGCAACGAACATGCACCACTTATTGGTGATCAAACCAAAGCGGATCTCGCCAAACCGATTAATGGCACCGGCCAAAAGAAACCTTACGATGCGAACGACGTTAAAGATGGTCCGGGTCAACAGCAACCACTGCTGAATGGTAGCAATGGTACAGCGCCGAACGACCAAGTGCACAAAGAGACTGCACCAGCCGCCACAGAAGCGACCGCACCACATGAATATCATCCAATCACACCACGTTACCCCACACCGAAGTCGCCACGCGCCTCCAAATATGCACAATATCCGCAAGAGGGTGCGGAGCACAATAACAACAATAATGATGACAGTTATCTGCCTTCGTCGCCGAAATTGGGACGCTACTCACCAGTATATTCGCCCGAAACGGGACGTGTCAAAATCAAATTGACCGAAACGCCACGCCCCAAAACACCAATGCTGGTGACACGTAGCAAATCGAATGCGGGCGATATTATAACGACGCCTGTCGTAGCGACGAACGGCATTGACAACAGTCTCACAGTGCCCGGTGTGCATGCGCCGACGGCGACGTTGGTGAATGGCCACTAAGCGGTGTGGCGTGGCGCGGTGCGATGCGAAGCGCAGCGGAGCGGTACGTCGTGGTGAGTACTCGGTACTCGGCGGTCAGGTGGCGTATAGTCTGGCCGTGCGCGTGTGCTGCCGTTCGCATTCTAACGGTGCTAAACGAATTACTAACTGCAAATAAGTTAATTTTCGAAAGTGAAAGCAAAAACTAATTAAGGTGTAAGTTGTGCAGCTGAGCTGGGAGAGAGCGAAAGAGTTAAGGGTTGGTGGAAAACAGTTTTAGGGAGAGATCATCAAAGGGATCATGTAGAGTAATTTCTTAGTAATACAGATACCTTTTAAATATTATATTGGCAGATTTTTTTTATTTTAATTTTTTTTTATAAAATTGCTTACAAAATTTCCAAGAATTACATATTTCTCGCGCAACAGCATGCTGGCTCCACTCTGACGTCATAACATTTATTTGCGCTCAAAACTTATGCTCACTCAAACTAAGTTCAGATATATTTTATAATTAATTGAAAAGTCGCTAAAAATTGAAAAAAAAACCTGTAAAAAGAGCGACGAGTTCCTACGCCATACCGCGAAGAGTCCTGTGAGCGTCATGCAACTACCAAGAAAAATCTCTCACCAGCTCTCTCAAGCTGCACCAAATACAACAAGCAACAACAATAACACTAAAAAATATCAAGCCAACTGTTGAAGACAAAAAACACTAACTGGAAATGTACAGTTAGCAAGAGCAACAATATATTGTGATAGGTTAATTATATACACGTACATACATAAATTATTTAAATAATTAAAAATTATTAAAATTATAATTTTTTCATTTATTCTCCTTGTTTTATGTTAATAAAATACACAAAAAAAAAATTATATAAAAAAAAGATAATCTAAAAACTAACGATACTTATGATAATAACTGTATAAAGCGAGAATTAAAATAGAAAATTGCGAAAATTTTATATTTAAAATTAATGGCTGAAAAAAAAATTACTAAAAATACTTAAAGTAATTTGAAGCTAAATTTATATAAATCATACACCAAAAGCATAAATAAATTATATATGTATATGTATACATTTTATAAGAAAAACAACACCTAAATCGAGTTGCGAGCTGAAAATATAATATATTTTTCGAAAATGTTTTTGTAATGACATTGTACATTTTAAATATAAGCAATTAGCACATACATACAACAAAAAAGCTGTGCGTTTGGAAAAAAAAAAAACAAAGAAAAACTAGAATTTTAAGCGAAAAATAGACGAATAACAACAACTACTAAAACAAAAAAAAAAACATTTCAAGTCAACAAAGCATAAATATAAAGTGTGTGGAAAATATTGAAATAATAATTAATTAATTTATAAATTATGAAAATGGCGCAGCAGCAGCTAATTGAATTTTTCAGCGCTTAAATTAGCATACAAATAAATTGAATTATATACATACTTATATACAGGTATGCATGTAAATTAATATTTTTTCGAAATTAAACTTTTTTCCAAATTAAATTTAATAATAATTATTAATTAAAAAAATGACTAAGAGCCGCTGCTGTTTAAAAATAAAGATAAATAAAAATTGATTCCTTTTTAGTTAAGTAAATACATACATATACGAGTATATGTATTCAAAAGTGTAATTTAATTTTTGCATAAATTTGTTTATATGTAATCTTAAAGTATTTTATGTAATTTTTAGCGTAATACCAAAGTTATCTTTTATGCATGTTTTTTTTTTTAATTTTTGTTTTTCTTTTTCGCTGAGATACAAATACATATGTACATGCATACGTATATGTGTATTTTCTTATATTTACCTAATGTTGTACATATAAATGTTGTAAATGCAAGTGCATGTAATTTTTAAAATATTTTGCCCCCTCTGTACCGCTCACTTACAGCATACACACATACCTTTATGCCTAATTGCTAAGTTTCGAAATTAATTAGGAAAATTCGCGAAGTTTCAAAGCTGCAGATTATAGTTTTAGCAGGGATGTTTTAAATTTCCATTAAATTATTTACAAGAAAAATAATTTTTTTTTTTTGAGAAATATAACCTAAGCTGCCTGTTTAACAAAGATAAAGGAAACACACACACTTACTATAAACACTTGACGATCCTAGCGTAAATTATGAAAAAACAAACATATCTACAATTTCTAAAAAATAAATCACTATTTGTATTTACATTATATTGTCAGTTTATTTTAGTTTTAATGTATAGTAATTACAAAAAAAATATATATATATATATAAATTACTTTATAAAATAAAAATGTTTAAAAGTCTATTTAATTTAATAAAAAAATGTAATTTAAAAAAATTAAATCGTTTTAATAAAGTCCAGTTTTTTTGTTAATTTGATAAAAAATATTAGTGATTATGAATCCCCTTGGGTTAGAGTTAGCTAGAAGAAGCAGCGAATATAATATTCAATAATTCTTTGGCAAGTGATAATTTTATTTTAAGAAAAAAACATAAAGTTAAGCGTGATTCCATGGAAAATTTTCAAAAAATCACTTTTCATAGTTTATGACTGCTTGTGATGACCCCCAGAAATGCTTGGAAATCTAAATGAGACTGTATTTTTTTTTAATAGATAATCTAGTGCCGTATCGAAAGCTTTTTTTAATTAACAAAGAAAAAAATCAAAAGATAGTTCTTTATGAGAAAAATTCGATATTAGAAAATGTTTTCATTTCGCATTTTTTTTTTAATTTTTCAAATACTGAACATTTTTTATTGATTACCTTAGTTTAAAAAAAAAATCATTAAAAGTTTTACCCGAGCTTTTTGGGGTCACCAGAAAGTCCTTTATGAATTATCAAATAATACGAAAAGTGTTAGCCGATTTTACTTCAAATTTTGGTAAATATTTAAAAAAAATATATATATTTTTAAAATTCTATCTTGATCTTTATGCACTGCGTTGCTGCACAATGTGCTTTTCTCACTATACCGAATGTAAACTCTTTGCAGGACTTCTGTTTTTAGGGCATAAATTCAACATGCTGAATTTAAATTATACTTTGTTCCATTTCCCAAAATATTTCCTTGCATTTCCGAAAGGTTTCGTTTCATTTTCTCTCTGTTCCAATCGGTCTTCTGCATTTCCCAAATGTGCACAAGTACGCATCATTTTCAAAATATCCCGTTCCATTTCCAGAATATTCCGTTCCATTTCCAGAATGTTTCGTTTCATTTCTCAAAACATTCCGTTTCATTTCCAGAACATTTCTTTTCATTTAACCCGCAATCTTCTCTCTTGCACTTATTCAGTTTTGAAATATTCCGAGCCGTTTTTAAGTAACTTGTTAAATTGCCAAATCATTTGTTTCACATCCAAATAAAATTCAACCTTTGCATTCAAAAAAATTTTACGTTTCGAAATATCATATTTCATTTCCAAAATTTTTCATTTCATTTTCTCTGTGATCCATTCAGAAAATCTACATTCCACAAATATTCATCTATTTATGTTTCATTTTCAAAATATCCCGCTTCATTTTCAAATAATTGGTTTGTAGCAAAATAAAACGAACGTGATGCATTAAAAAGAAATATATTAATTTATGTTCCATTTCCAAAATGTTTCGTTCACCTTCTTTGATTTAGCTATTTTCTTCTTTACAAAAATATTATAATTAATTATCAATATATTCCGAATCATTTTTTAAATATGCCGCTTCTTTCCAAATAATTCGTTATATTCCATTTTGAAACACAGCTAAACTGACTGAATTAAAAAAGTATTGTTCTATTTCCAAAATATGCCGTTCCATTTTCATGAGTATAACCAAAAAATTTCAATATTTCTTTATTCGTTTATATTATTTTAACACTTCATTATTATTTCATTATATATTAAATCAAAACGCAGTAGAGAACGTAAAAAACGAGAGGATGCAAATAACTTCTCTGAAAACATATCCGACGCAGTATGAAAACCCCGTCGCAAATGTAAATTCTCCCTATTTTCTCATAAAATCTACTTATAATTTTTATTTCTGTTAAAAATTTAAAATTGCAGGGATTTAAAATTTGTTGTAGTAGTAGATTCTAAAAGCTCTTGATGTTGTAATTTATTTTTCACCAAAAAGCTCTACTCCATTTCCAAAAAATGTTCATCCCAAATTTCGTTTATTAAGAAAAAAATTTTAAAAACAAATTTAAAAATATAATATTAAAAACCTGTTTCTTTGAAATTACCACACACACTTCTAATTAAAAATATAAGATGCGATTTTTTTTTGCACACACACGTTCCATGTGGTCAGTGCGAAAATCGCCGCGTGCACAAAACACAATTTTCACCAGGCAAACAGACAACTCATGAATTCAGCAGGTTTCCAGCCCCAGTAGCCAGCCAAGACAACAACCTGTCTCATTCAGTTTATTTTTTAGCACCATCTACAATTTCGTATTGCATATATGGTTTGTGTTTGTACTAAGCACAGACTTCCACCGCTTGAAACTGTTCTCAGGCGCATACAGGGTGCTCCAAATTAAAATATGTACAATTTTATATATTCTTTTAATTTTATATATAATACTTTTTTATTTTCATATATTTAAATAATCTTGATATTACTAAATATCTAGATATTTAAAAATATTTTTTTCTAATAGACAATCGACTTAAAAATAAATTTTAATTATACACATACATACATAATCAACAACTATAATTAAGCGTTAAATACTTCTTGTAAAAGCACTTTGGCACATAAATGTCAGCGCTTCCTTGAAGCGCCTTAAAAAGTAGTAAGTATATGCGCGAGTGTATGCAGCAAAACAAAATAATTAACCATCCCGTCCTCTACTCCTCCTACCTTAGAAGAGCGTTTCACGCATCGGCTTATGCACTACCACAATCGGTTCTCTATCGGAAGATGAGGACGAAGTTTCGTCAGCAGCTGCAGCCGCAGCAGCAGCAGTGAAGCTACCACTCGCACGTCTACTCGTTGAGTTCAAACGCTTCTTGCGCCTACCACGCTCTAAGTTCGCCGACGCTTCACCAGCACCACCACCGCTCGAAGATGTATTGTGCAGCTCGGCAATCGAAGAGATTTCCGGCTCAACTACCAGCTGAAAATCACTGTCGTCCGATGAAGAGACACGTGCCTTTGGCGTGCCACCAAAATAATCTTCAACGGCGGGCGCCAAAGGACGGCTAGTTACCGGTGACACAGCGCATGATGGCGTTGTGGGCGATTTTGGTTTGCGTCGCGCAAATGGACTGCCCGGTTTGCTGTGATCTTCATACTCCGGATCGGTGAGGAACTCAACGCTGTCGGTGCGCATTGTGGCGCGTTTGAATGGCGGTATTTCGGCCACTTTCGGGCGTCGCTTTGTGTACGGACTGTGTTCGTAACCCTGGAAGTTGGCAATCTTCTCGGCGCTTTGCAGATTCTGTGACTTCAAGTGCGCGGCTGGGAAACGTGTACCCTCAGCGCTCAAGCGTCGACTACGTGAATTGCTGTACTCAACATAGCCGGTGCGTGCGAAGGGCATTATATTTGCTGTGCGCTCTTTTACGCGATTAGACAGCATTTCCTCGCTGCGGAAACGCTGACGATCGTCCAACATTAAATCACCATCTTCCATGTCACCGTCAGGGTTGGTTTGTGAGCGTCGCAGTTTAGTGCGTCGCATATGCCCCGATTCGGTCAGATCGACCATTGACTTAATTGGACGCTCCAGCTTTGGCATGCGTATCGCATCCTCGTAGGAAGGTAAGTTGGTTTCGTATGGACTTGGCGCATTGGGCGTGCCAGTATCCTCTAGCATGCGTTGGTTCTGCTCGCGTCTGCAAATATGTTAAATGTATTATTTAATTATTTAAATAATTAATAATGCAATTTTTTGCTTACATTTCCATCATCTCGTCACGATTTTGTCGATACTCATACCGATCACGTCGTCGCTTGCGGTGTTTGATGTATTTTTTAAGTAGGGAGACTACAAGAAACCCGGCACCAGCTGCTAGCAGGCTGAACATTATCACAGTCCACGCTTTCTCTGCTTTGGAAGTATGCCCATTTGGTATCCAAATGCTGCCGCAAGCACTCTCCCATGTCTTGCCATAGAACTGAGCGGGAGAAGCACAGCGTAAATTCGAGCGATCTTTTAACTGAGAAAAGAAGAAAAATATAGTTAAGCTACTTCTAATCGAATGACGGAATACATACATATATGATTTTTATGGAGCAAATAGTCCTGGTACAACAACTATCTCAAAAAGGATTTGTAATGCAGTCGCACCAAGGAACCAACGGTTGTTATAAAAATCGAACTTTCACTCGAAGGCGGCGGTAGGAAAAGCATCACGATACAAAGAAAGGGAAGAGAGATGCGGTTATGACGGAAAGGTAATCGGTGTCTAGAGGATGATTACATTGATCTTTGGGAACCAACGAGGTAAGCTAACAGGGATGGAATGCACCCACGTGATCACAGGAGAAAGAATCGTACCGTAGCTTCTCAAACGGTTGGGGTAGACATGAAGTTTTAACCAAATTCACGGCAAGGACGCTGCGCCGGCCTACTTTATGAGACCAGTCTTCTCAATTTGAGCAGCGCAAAGCTTAGTACGACCAGCAAGAATCACCCATTAAGCTAGTCTTCAATATAATTTTTGTTGTTGTCCCATTTACCTTCAGTAGCAAATTAGAGAGAGCTCAGTGATATCGTAGGCAATTTTATAGCAGACGACCTAGCAAGAGAAAGAACATCTTTACCTACAATGAAACATGCACATGATGCTGGTGTACCTCTGTCCACGGTATAGACTCAACCTGGCTGAACGACCAGACAGCTATGGCCGAGTTTAAACGTGAAAAAATCAAAATATCTTGTCCTTCTAGACAGGTTCTCCATTAACATACTAAACTGTTTAATGGCTCTTCAGGGTAAACGAACGTATTATAACCCTAACGATTTTTGCTGCAGCTGTAGGGGCGAAGAAAAGGAGGAGCCTATGGAGCACTACCTCTAGACTGTCCATCCCTGACATCTGTGAGAAACAAATTTCTCGGAAAACCCTTCTCCGTTCCCTGTGAATCCGGATTGTTCGAGAGGTAGACCTTTCCATTCCACGCTTATTGGAAACGACTGCAGTATTCGAACGGACCGTAAACAAGGTCTACAACGATATTGATATATTTTCCAGCATATAACAATGTAAAGTCTGCGCTGGCTAGAGAGGACGATAAAAGGGAAGACTACGACACTCATGAAAAGGAAAAGTAAAGTAAAGTGTAACGAATCGGAGAAGGCATTCGCAATGGCTGGTGGCCTGACAATATCTTTTGTATCGATTCATCGATCGGCCATTCAAGTAAAGAGTTCTCATTAACAACCTTAGCGGTTTCTAATATATATATCGGGCACGTGACCCACATGTTCTTCGCATTTGAACATATAGAACAGCATACAGAATTGTTCTGATCGATTCTATTGAGGCATTTCCAAACCATCCCACGCTTTGACAGAGGCTGAGTAATAAAAAAGTCGCATCTTCTCTGCTTCTCTCCAATCATAGGCTTCTAACGAGCTTGAATTGAATTGAATTGAAATGAGCTTGTATTTTCCAGCGCTTTACTAGCGCCCCCGCTTGTCCTTAATATACTGGTGCATTTCTTCGACAACAATCTTCTCTGTCTCGGAGCATGATAACATTCAATATACCGCGCTTTTCATTTTCTCTGCAGGGAAGCCTACTCAGATTAAATCAGTTGCTTCATGCGGTATTGCACTGAAGCCACAAAAAACTCTAACCAAACTTAGACCGGTGCAGTCAGCTTCCTTTAGTTGACTTACTGCTCAAGGTATCGGCCATAATTGCCGCAGCCGGTAGGAGAGTTGAACTAATCACTTCACTCAATACCTTTCCCTAGCTTTATCTCTGTTTCGCTGACTATTATTCTTACCTTCTGTGGCGGCGCAGTTAAATAATCATAAAAATCGATAAATGTGATATCGTGACAGTCGCAAATCCACGGATTATCGCTAAGCCAGATAGCGTCCAGATAGTGGTTGAGGCGAAAGTATGAAGCTGGTATTGGATTCGTAAATCGATTGCCATTCAAGAGCAACCATGCCAATTCCGGAAATCCTGAGAATGTTGAATTTCGTACGCCTGTTAATCTGTAAAATTAAGGACTCATGAAAACGTATCGGTAACAAATAAAAGAAGAAAATTAATACAGAATATGTACTCACTTGCAGTTGCTCAAGTCCAATTTCTGAAGCGTTTCTGAACGCATATTCGCGGGAAATTCCTTTATGAGTGTTTTGGACAAGTCCAGACGTTGCAACACCGATAAACCCGTTAAGGCATTACTATCGATCGCAATTACTTCACATCCACTAAAGTTAATCTCGCGCAGTGAATTCGATACGAGTTTCGTGAATTTCTCCATAACATTGCGACTGAGATTGAGCGAGACGAGCACATCGTTGGCACGAAACAAATTCTTATCGAGACGCGCGATCTCATTGTAGGACAAGTCGAGTGTGGTCAAGTGTTTCAGCTTAATGAAGGCATCAGGTTGTATGTTGCGTATGGAATTGCGCGCCAGATCCACTGTTTGAAGCTGTGAGTTATTGGCGAAAGTGTACTCATCGAGTGTACGCAGCATATTGCCACGCAGACGGGCACGCGCCAGACTCGGGAAACCACTCAAATTGACGCCATCTAAATTACAAAAAGAGGCATCCAGCTCCAAAAGTGTTTCGGATATCAACGGATCCTTGAACTCCAGTGCGAAATTCCACGAAACATTTAATGTCTCTAAATTGGGTAGACTTTCTATCAAAGCGGCTGGCACACGAAGCAAACTGCAGTTGCTCAGTTCCAGCACACGCAAGGTAGCCGATGGTATATTATTTAATGTTATGAGTGCATTGCCCGACAACACCAAACGATCGAGTGAGGGCAGTCCATTTATGAGATGATCGCCGCCAACTGTCGTAATGCCACAATTAGCCAGCTCGAGATCTGTCAGCGTTTCACTAACCAAAGTTTTTTCGGTCTTATAACCCGTGAATATCTGCAGATTATTCCCACTCAAACTGAGGTGTTTCAAACTGATTGCATTGCGAAAAGCAACACTCGGATTCAAATCCAACCAATTGCTAAAACTGTTGTTGGCCAGCAGCAAAACGCGTAAAGCGGTGAAGCCCAAGAGAGCATTCGCCTCAACGTGCGTGATATTATTGTTTGACAGATCTAGGTAGACGAGTGATTCAATGTCCGCCAATTGTGTTGGAAAATGATCGAAGTTGTTGCCAGACAAATCCAGATGGTCGATGGGTAAATCGGAGAAACTAGGATATACCGTTAAGCCTTTACGTGAACAATCCACGCTAAGACTGTCAAGCACCCATAAACATTTGCAGTTTTGCGGACAATTGAGCGCGGATGTCAATGTGACGCTGTAGAGGAGTAATGTGATGGTCAAGTAGTAGGAGAGCTTAAACATTTTTATACGTTGGTACACCAGTTTTGTGAAGTAGCATTTGACATGGGAGTGTGTTCCTGAAAGAAAAATAAATTTAAAATATTTTCGATGGATTTTAATGCAATGGATATTTAATTTTCAGCGAGAGAGAGAGAGAGAGAGTAAAAGTGATATTGGTTATTTTGCTTCCATATAGGAGATCTCGTATTTGGGATCATTAATTGATTTTGTTGTTTTATCGATATCTTCGAAAGATCAAGTTTTGGGAATCATTTTCAGAAGCCGATCTATGGGTGGTCCGAATATTATGATTTTATTGTCTGCAGCAGCAGGGTTCCAACCTTGGCAAGCCAATAATAAAAGATTTATTGAGAATTAATTTCAAGAAGTTCATTTGGGTTTTACGATCCTCAGATGCGAAAGTTTTGCTTATAGATGAAGCCAAGGGTTCCTCCCCATCAATTAAGATGATTTTTCGATGAAATTCTGGGATCATTTTTAATGCATTTCAAGGACCTAATGAGCAAGGACACGAAGTTGTTAATGATCGGCCAGCTTGAGTTCTTGTATTAGCTGAACCGTATAAGCTTTAAAAGCCAAGTCTTTATGCAGAATACGGTGTAATGACGTTTGTGGTATGCCTAATTCCAAAGAACTACGGGGAATAGACCTAGCTTAGTCGTCTTTTATTCTTAACATCGCCACTTATATTAACAGCTCATTTTTTCCCACCAAGTTATGTATTGCGGTCCGGCAGGTGCTTTACGTTGACCGAAAAAGGTATTCACCATTTTTATAGTGAATTTTAATCATTTCAATGCGTGGTTGAAGCTTGTATCGTTCTATTTCTATTACTGGCGAAGTTTTTACTTCTCAAATGTCAAAAAATTACAGCTGCAAAAGTGACATCTACCGGAATAATACCTCTTATTGGAAAACCCTTGACAAGCAGGTGTATTTACGCCAGGAAAGTTAATCCCTCTGAGTGTATTAATGACTTGAAATAAAAAGCTCCTCATAAAAGTCTTTTAGCCGCTCGGATGTGGCTTAGAGTAAGCTGGAAGTCCCTCAATTTGTTGGAAAAATATCAATACTTTGGCGTAAATTAAACAAAAGTTCAGTCTGTTGGTGACTTTGTTGTAATTACTTTATTAGTTTTCCTTTTTTAGAACGAGTGGCCAAAATAGAGTTGGGAAAACGCAAGATAGCAAGAGAAATACATTATGTGATTCCCTTATGGTTTCGGCGTTATTTACAGCCAATTCAAATATTCAGTGAATGGGAAATGGTCTATGGAACGACTGCACCGTCTTTAAATACAATACTATTTCTCAATGTTTCTGAAGATTACAGACCGGAAGGCTGGCCAAATTCTTCCACTGGCAACTTTAGTAAATTTGTTACTGGTGACGAATCTTGGTTCTATATTTATTGTGATCTCGGGGATCGAAAACATACGTCCAGCACCATATTCCCCGGATATGGCAAAAAGTAAAGAAACTCAAAAGCAAGGGTCTTTAATAGTAATGAGGAGATAATTATTTCGGTTAATACCGAACTTGATAAGCTTAAAAAGCAAGACTTTGAAGACTATTAAGAAGTGGCTTTATAGGCTCAAGAAATACGTTGAAATCAAAGGCGATTAAGTAGTGAAGATGAAAAAGGACAAAAATTACGAGTAAATACAAAAAGGAATTTTTTTTTTCAACTTTTTTTTATCCCCTCATATATGTACATATATACGTGTATGTATATATTTCGGTATTAAAAATAAAAATACTTTTAATTCTATTTACCGATACCCAACCCACTGAGTCATCAGACGATATAAAAAAAGTCGCTTAGGTAAAGTTCACCAATCTAAAAATTTAAAAAAATTATCAGCAAATTAAAGTTTTTTATAGTGGATGGCCGCTACTATATATTGGTAAACACAAAGCAGAAAAAGAAAAAAGTAAAATAAATATTTTAACCAAGATTGATTTTGAAGATATTCCAAATGAAGCTAAACTAGCTGGTGGCTAATAGCTCAGGTGGCTGCTAAATGGAAAGAATTCATACGGTGGAACCCTACAAGGTTGAATCCTACAAGGTGGAATCCTCTGGTGGTTATACTAAATGACAAATTTTCACAAACTTTATGTGATGCAATGCAGATCGAACTAAGGCAGATAGAAAAGTTTTTAAACTAGTATTCGACAGCAGGAAAAGAGCTGCCTCTACGCTGCTATGCCTGAATATGTAATCCCGGCAAAACTTATAATGCTGTGCCAACTGACATTGCAACACCTCCGAATATCTAACCATAGAAGTTATTGTACAATCTTCTATAAGAGTGCACAACTACTGCTATACGCGAGAGAAAACTTCGCCTATCTAGGAACCAAAATTAACACCAATAATAATGTCATACTTGCCAACTAGGCTACCTTTGCTGAGTAGGCAATTGAAAATAAAAAAACTCTCTCGATGAATAAAGACCAATCCTAACAAATCGGTCATCGTTACCATTCTGCTATAGGGTGCGGAGGTGTGAAAGAAATGCTTTCCGTGAGATTGAGGGAGAGAACATTACAGTTTTGAAAATTTTACATGCAGTACCCGCTAGTGAACGTCGTTGGAAGTACCAGTTAGAGAAGGATTTGGCTGCGCTTGGTATATTTAATTGGCGCCAAACAGCAAAAAAGAAGGAACGAATGGCGTGCTGTTGTTAACTCGGCTATAATCGCGTAAGCGGTGACTACACCAGTAAAGAAGAAGAACTTTTTACTTATACTCACAAGTTGCGATTGAGTAAATGTCGCAAATTTAAAAATTTATTTGATATTTTTTTTTGTTTACAATGTTATCGGTCAATTTTTGACATACACGTACGTATGTACATGTATACGAGTATGTATATATAAATTATATTTCTTTATTTTTATGCCACACGAGTGTATAATAATGTGTTTGCACACATACATAATTAAGCATGTATAAATACACAAGGCGGTAGGCTTATTTTTAGTATCACCGTTAAATACTTTTCCAAGGTTCTTGAATGTCCAATGGAATATGCGCCACAAATAATGAGTTGCTTTCATTTAGGAATATTGCAATATGTACTATGTACATTCATATGTGAGAGATAATGAGTTTTGATAATAAAGAAATTTCAAGTGTAAATAAAAAGTAAAAATAGTTTGTTTTATTCCAGATGAACAAACGAAAAGATAACGACAGTGTGAAATTTACATATTTATATATGTATGTATATAATATAAAACATGTAAGTTTGTCCCCATCATATAACATTGTTATACAGAAATGTTTAGTATATGCCTGTATTCTGACATATATCTGTGTACAGGGTTATCCGATCTGAGGATTCTAAAATGAACGAACATGAAATGCATTTAAAATATACATCACTTTTTTTTTTAGCAAAAACCTTTTGTTATAAAGTTTGAACCTATGTGAAACAGTCCAACATTCACACGGCAGACTCACAAATTTTTGCAAGCTTCGAACCGTTTGATGTAATCTTCGACCATTTCTTGTCACATGTTGGGAGGTATCTCTGCCACGACTTGACGAATGTTAGTTTTCAAGAGCTCAAGGCTTTCCAACGATGTCAAATTATACGATTTCGGTAGCCAATTAACATCACCAGGACGAAGGATTAAGATTATATCCACTTAAAGCACAAATGTGGCCACGTTTGAATCAGGTTTCAAAAATTTGAACGCATTGTGTGGTTGACATACGTAACAACAACAAATGCCTGACTTTTAACTGAAATAAATCATGTTTAGGTAGATAGTATAGTTTGACAGATATCAAAATACTGTCACGTAGTTTTGAAACCACGAAATGGATAATCCTATATGTACATTCAAGATTTAAAGAGAGCAATTCTTCCATTCAAGGGGACAAGTTTGCCTTGATTTTGAATCGATTTGGTAAAATAACAATTTTAAATACATAGAAGCAGCCATAAATATGAAATAATTTGTTCTCTCTAGCTTATTTGACAAGGCATTATCTTTACGTAGTGAAGAGGTAGTGCAGATCGATTCTGAAAAAGCAGAAACAAATAGAAAACCTCTCAAGAAAAAGGAAGCAAATGAATGAGTAAAAGACGATACGAGATGAATGGTGATAGTTCACATTTTGTTTTTTTGAGCAGCCAACGACAGTGCATAACTCGCAGTATTGGTATTGACATTATCGGCCATAACAACTGCGCCGTTAGTTTTGCTTTCTCCAGGCTTGATAAAGAAGCGAAGCGAACGGGTCTTGTAGTGAATAAGGGCAAGACGAAATATCTCCTGTCATCAAACAAACAGTCGTCGCTTTCGCGACTCGGCTTCCACGTCACTCTTGACAGTTGTAACTTCGAGGTCGTAGATAATGTCGTCTATTTTGAAACCCGTATTAACACCAACAACAATGTCAACTTGGAAATCCAACGCAGAATCACTATTGTCAACAGGTGCTTCTTTGGACTGAACAGGCAATTAAAAAGTAAAGTCCTCTCTCGGCGAATGAAAACCAAACTATACAATTCGCTCATCATACCTGTCCTACTATATGGCGCAGAGGCGTGGACGATGTCAACAACAGAAGAGCCGGCCTTGAGAGTCCTCGAGAGAAAAGTTTTGCGAACGATTTATGGTTCTTTGCGCATTGGCAACGGCGAAAGCCGCAGATGATGAGCTTTACGAGTTATACGACGACATTTACATAGTTTAGCGAATGAAGAGACAGCGGCTAAGCTGGCTAGGTCTTGTCGTCCGAATGGATGAAAGCACTGATGGAAGCAGAGGAAGAGGAGGACATCCACACCGTTGGAAGAAATTTCCAAAATGGTTGAATGGGGCGTGATAATTAATTCGGCAGTAATCGTGTAAAACATCGCCAATAAAGAATAAAAAAAATAATAATAGTAATAATAATAATAATAATAACAGTTAATAATACAAAATAATTTTTATAAAAACGTGCGACTAAACTAGAGACATGAAAAAATGATAGGCGAAATTCCTCTGTAACAAAAATACGCAATTAATGAATGAGTATTCTCTAAAATGCGATAAATGAATAGGTAGCTGAATTAACCGCTTACTGCTAAGCGTTGCGCTAAGGTTGCGTAAGAGAAAAAAACACATGAACCGTTCGCTTACTCAAAATGGTACTTAGATAGGAAATAATTGGACATTGCACCTGCTTTGAAATCTCCGTGTAGATTTTCAGCGATTCGAAGACCCAGTTAGCACTTTATGTTCTTGCTTTTAAAGCCCTACCATTTCCTGCTGGGTATGTTGTAAAAGAGTGTAAAGTATTATTGTATATTGAATTAGTTTAAGTTTTTGATTGCCATTGTTATGAGCTACACTAAAAAATCTTATCAACTTTATTTGAACGCATCAATAAAAAATATAATATCAAAAATTAGTAGCAAAACAATGAAAATTCGTTTTGAAATTTCACCCCTTTGTTATTTTAAATTCCAAACTCTAATTATTATCTCTCAAAGAAATTTAGAAAAATACTTAGAGTGACGATGAGAAGGGGTCCACTTTAAAATTTCATTTCTTTACTTGGAAGTCAGAAACACGATAAAGTAATTTAAGCTATTTTTAAACTTTTTAATAAAAATATAATGGAATGACGAGAGGAAACCAGCTATTCGAGTACTCAAGTAAGCATTGAGATATTTTGCACTAACTTGTTATTTTACACCTTACTCAGGTTACAAGTATGGACGGGCGCTCACGGCCACATCACATATAAAGGTATTTTTGAAAAGCACGAAGATCATAATAATTCAGTTACAAAGTCATTTTTTTAAAGACGATCGCATCAAATGAAAAGGATGAGTGAAAAAAACATTCCACCGACTTCTGGATCAAACGGAATATCTCAAAAATCACTGCGTGGCATTCGATAATTATGCTACTTATAATTCCCATGATCTAGCAAAAAAGAGGAGATTAACAAAAATTCGGTAAGTTGACCAGAAAAAAAATTCGTGACCCTATATAACCACTTCTTGAAATAGTCTTCAAAGTTTTGCTTTTTAAGCTTATCAATTTCAGTATTGACCGCAATAATTTTCTCCTCATTGCTATTAAAGACCTTTCCTTTCAAATTTTTCTTAAGTTTCGGAAATAACCAAAAATAAGAAGCTGTTGTATATATATATATATGGATAAGGTGCCGGACGTAATTCTTCGATCTCTGAGATTGCAATAAAATTACTCGTTATTTCAGCAGTGTGGGATGGCGCGATGTCATAATGTAAAAAACAAATTCTATTTTTTATTGTTTTCCTACAAATTTTTGAAAACCGTTACCATTACCGTCTGAACTTTTCCCGTGGAATACTAGCTACGATTATAGATCGGGTGAAGTAAACTGACATCATTACTTTTGCCGCTGATTTTGGTTGCTTAGATTTTACGGGTGGATTTGCTTCTGGTGGTCTTCATACCGTGGACAGCTTTTTGGTTTCTGGAACGTACTTATTGATCCACGATTCTTCACCAGTAAAGACTTTACTAAAGCCAGTGGAAGATTTTGGTCGGCCTTCCGGTCTGGAATCTTCGGAAATAGTATTTAAAGACGGTGCAATCGTTCCATAGGAAATTTTGCATTCACTGAATATTTGTATTGACTGTAAATTACGTTGAAACCCTAATGGAATCACATGGTGTATCTCTGTTTGCCCCAGCTATCTTGCATTTTCTCATGTCCATTTTAGCCGATCATTCTAAAATTTGAAAGTAATTGCAATGGATTTGGTATTCTTAGATTTAACAAAAACAAATTGAAAGTCGTCATATAACCGTACTTTTCACGAACACAAATCGGATAACAACTTGTTCGACATACGAGCCATTCGCTTTCCACTATACTTGTTAAATTTATCGCTTTCAATCTGGACTAGAATCTTAACTGAATGGTCCGACATAGGTCCAGGAATAGACAAATTCCCTTCTTTTTTTAACAATCAGTGCAGTTAGACTCAAATAAAGAAAGAAAGATTGTTCTTAATGCATGTGGTAGTCACTGTGAGAACCAAACTGTACCAAAAATACAAAAATGGATCCATGAACAAGCTTATCCCTTTCATGAACTTTAGTATTTGTGTAAAACGTTGGACGTTCACCCTTTAAACGGTTTCGCGATCATTTATAGATTTCGTTTATTTTTTGTATTCCGATTTATTATCATTAAATTTAGATTTAAAAAATTCGAAAACGAGTAACTTAAAATCAGGAAATTATAAAATCATATAGCATAACTCAATAACATAATTATGAACGAAAACATATTGGCGCGGTCGATTCGACACAGCGCGGTCGCTGAAAATTAATTTAAATATCTGCCGGGTATTATTTGAATTTTAAAATTTCTGGCTATACGTATATTCGATTGCCGATTAGTTTGTTTGATTTTTACTCAAAAACACTTAGAGCAACAAAAATTAGCTCGAGCACAGAAATGTTCACTTATCATTGTTTGTTTTGCAATTTTGGCCAAATGTCTCAGACCCGGTATTCACCTGAGTTGGTCCCTTGCGACCATTTCCTGTTCTCAAAATGCTCTGGTATTTGACACGATTGAGGAAATAAATAACAAATTCCTGATCAAAGACATACCAAAGGTATTACACATATCAAAACTGCTTGGAGTTTAGCAAAGGAGGTGCGGAAAAAAAACGAGAAAAATGGGAATGCACCTTAGAACTGAACTCTTGTTATCAATTAATAGTGCGTAATGTTAATTAATTATTATTATTTATGCTTAATTTTTATTTATTTAATTTTTTTAAATAGTTCTTCGTTCATATTAAAGGCTTTGAAGTTTACATAAAGTTCTGGAGACTTTTGAGCACATTAACTTCAGTCTCAAATATTCCTAGTCCAATGGCATAAAATGTTGGAACATTTCCCATTGGGTTGTAAAAAATTTGTTTGTATTTTTTTATTTTTTTTTTTTTTATAAATTCGGTCATTCACCATATACGCAAATGTTTTATTTTATTACTGTAAATTTTTTTACCATAAGCTTATCATTTCAAAAATTTCCGGCAAAATTTGTAGACAAATTATTTATTAAAATAAATCGAAATTTTTTTCAAAAATTATATGAAAAGATTTAATGTGCACACGTAATTTATTATTGTTTTTGTTTTCCGTAAGATTTCGGCTGATCTACTAAACACTGGCAAAGGTCAACTTTAAAATTTTTTCTCACAACAAAAATAATGAAATATGTACATTTATGTTCTTGTATATAGTTTTTAATATTTATATTTATTTTTATTTTGTTTTGTGTTGTTTTTTTTTTCTTGCAACGCAAAATCAGCGCAGTCAAGACGTCATCGAGAAGATAATTTTTATAGTACAATGACAACGAAAATAACAACGAGCATTATTTTAAATGATTTAACACTGTTATTTTAATTATACAAAAATCGATTGGAAATATTCACATGCATTGTTACACTAGAAAAAATATCAACTTAATAACAAAATAGGCATTTATGTGTTTGCCTTATCAAATAAATTGGACTCTCGAGGTATACATATGTACATATGTTTGTATATCTGTATATGTATGTACATATATGCATTATTACTCATACCTTAATTTATATGCGCACAACCTTATTAATGATGAATGTAATATGTTTTTGATTAAACAATATTTACTAATATTTTTTATTTATTTTATTTATATTTTTTAATTAATTTTAAATTTTTCTCATTTACTAATTTGTTCGTTGAAATCTTTTTCGTATTTAGTTTGCCTGCACTTTGTAATTGCACAATTCTTTCACTACACTATTTTCCACATATTTCCAATTTTACGTTGTTTCACTGCCCCGCATCATCGAAACCGCTCCGCTCCTTTTGCTATCACTATGCGTATCAATGGGGTACAGCGTATTTTTTTTAACCCAGCGTTTTTTGTAGTTAACGCGACTCATTCGAAATTCATTCGATTACTGATTGTATTCACCTGTTGTGTTGAGAATACACACGGATTGTGTGTTGTCTTATCACACCAAAAACAAATTCGGTATAGAAAGGCTCCCCTTTCATTTAATTCTTGCACGTTTAATGCCCGCCCGCGGTATGGCTAACGGCGAGATAAGATAAGCTGCACTGATAACGGTATATGCATCGTCTCCAATTGAGTTTATGTTACGTTTTAAAATTTATAAATAAATATGTGAGCTTATAGTAATGATGGGTGTGGTGAGTTTTGATTCATGAAAGTGTTGCAATACTTGCCGGACGAAAAATATATCAAAGAGGAGAATGAAATACTCTATTTGAGGTTGATTTTCGTATTTAGTTGCTCATAAGTGTACCGCTAGGAAAATTAATGCTTTAGAGTTATCATATAAAGCTTATAGTATTGTATTGTTTAATGATTGCTCTCTTCACCAAATTCAAACTGTGTTATTTGAGAAGAATTTGCTAAGGGCTTGGACTCTTGAGATTTCTTTGAAATTTAAATATAGTACATAAAAGTATCTGTGTGGATTTCCCCGTTTATATGTATGTAACACCTCCGCGCGTATATCTGAGATGAAATAAAAATCTCCCAATAAAATCTCAACAGTCACACGGAGGTGTTTTAGAGTAAACTGAAGATCTCTCTATTAGTTGAAAAAAAAAAAAAAACATCAGTGCGCACACCATTAAATTGGAGTAAGAGTTTGGCCGAAAAGCACTGCAGCGTTTATAAAGTGTCTATTTACATAATCTTTTTTTTTTTTGAGCCTTTACTCAACTTTGAAGTAACCATTGCACTACAAAATCCAACCAAATCCATTCCAAATCTAGGAACTAAATCACTTCGGCCATTTCGTACAATAAGTAATGACGAAGTGAGCTGCGAGTGATTTAACCCAGACTGCTTGACGCCTGAAATATTTTCCAAGAAGCATTAACAGCAAGGGTCTGAGTCTGCGTCTACTTATATTTATTTAATAGCTAGCAAGCTTTCTTCTGTGGTCGATGAAACCAAAGCGATCTGTCAGTTCTGGACCTTAATCGACTACAAAATTTCTATTATTTGAATTAGCATGAAAACTAGTATAATAATAGCTAAACGTTTGATACGGATGAACGGGTTGAGGCTGCTTTGTAGCTGTACGACCTTGTTGGTGACTTATATAGATTCAGTAGTACTAGAACACCACCTCTTTTACAATCCAGCCCGATTTACACCACAAAGAAATGTATATGTATGAAAAATATATAACCTTTTCTCAGAAAATTTGTTTGAACTTCTGGGCCAGTCGGTTTTCTCTTCAGCTGTTTTGTGTCAGTTGGTTACACCAAGGGTTTACTTCGCTTGATCCTTCCCATGGAGCGTAAGAATTACTTTTACTCCATTTCCATTAGGTCGCCGAAAATGTGAAGAGGTAGTGCTATAACGACTCGTTCTCGTCGTGCAGTGTCTGTGACAGAAGTCCTTAGAGAAGTAACCCGTCCTTCTACCGTTAGTTTTTTATCAAACAGTATTCGGCTATTACGCCGATTGTTGTGCTCTTCAAAAGGGGTAGATACCGAGTTATTTTTTCATCGATAAGAGGTGAGATCTATCTGATAACAATAACACTTAGTCCCACCCTGTCCTTTGCTTTTGCCTCTACTAGTGAAGGATGATCTTAGCAGTTATTTTGCTGAAGAAAGAGTTCTGCCAACATGGTGTGCAGCTTACCCTATAACCTATACCTATCATGCTAGCTTGTCGGCCTCGCAACTTCCAAGGATATATCTAAGCTAGCGTTCCTGAATCATGTATATTTCCCAAACTTGTTGCTTGTTTAATGTTTCTCTACGTCTTATTGCCATTTTTGAGTAGTTGCTACAGCTTGGTTGTTAGAGTAAATTGTAATGGCTTGAGTTTCTATTCATTATTCTGTATCAGATTTTCCCTTAATTGAAAAAAAAAACACTTTGTGTCATTATTACCTAGACCTTAGAACAGCTAATAATATTTTGCCAAAAAGCTGGCACTCACATAAACCTCGTCGATGATTAAGTGCGCCATTTATGCTTACATTTATATGTATGTATGCATATATTTTTATTCCTCCACATCATTAGTTTAATCATCATTACTCTTGCAACTGCTGCAGAAATCTCTAAAAGCAACTACAGTTTCCGCTTCGCAAGGATGTCTACTTACAAGTCACACTTGATTTGTTGCAATACGTCAAGGGTATTCACAGTTCACATTCGCAAATGAAATAAAAAATATTTAAAATACAGTTGTTGTAATTTTCAGCGATTTAGTGGACAATTTGGGTAAGCTTTTTTGATATTTTGTACTGAATAAAGTATGTTAAATAAAGTGAAGTAACTCAGTAGTATTGAGCTTATACCACAGATTACAACTTTTCTTCGATAAAGGCGAAAACGCAAGACAGACAGCTGAAAATATGATTAGTCCTTGGCCCTGATACTGTCACTGTCAATTACGTAGAATATTGGTATTAATTTCGTTCCGGTAATTCTGATGAACAAAGTGCCACGATTTGGAAGGCCAATTGGTAAAAATGTCGATAAAATAATGGAAATCGTCTAGTCTGACCGTCACGCGAGTGCTGTTTCAATTGCAAAGAGGCTGGACGTATGGGTGTCATATGAGTTGACGAGAATCTGCAAATCGCTGCTGATTCTTAACATAATCGACCCATTTCCGGAGCAGATAGTGTTACACGATGAAAAGTGGATCTCTTGCAGCAACCTCAGTGGACCTGTACCGCTAGAAATTGGACCGTTTGAAGAGAGCAATCTCCCAGAATCGCCTAGCTTTTACCAATAGGAGGAGAATTGTGTTTTACCAGCGCAACGGCGGATCACACACATCGGTAGTGACTCGCTAGAGCTTGGTTAAGGAGTTCTTGTGCATCCACTCTATATTGCGGACTTCGTACCGTTTGTTTTTGTCTATGGCGTTTGATTTGGTTGGTGAAAAATTGAATTCAAGGGAGACCCGTGAAAACCGACTGCCCCATTATTGTTTGTTTTTCAATATTCATTTCAATAGGAGAGAAGCATTATGACTTTAACTTTAAAATGGTAAAAAAGTTATCGAGCAAAACATGCCCCGTTTAACATAAATCGGATAATGCCAACTGTAGTAAAAAGGTATAGACTTCAATTAATGTAAAAATAGTGGATTATTTCTTACTATACCAATATAAAATAGTGATCGAGCGCTCAATTATGGACAGTAAATATTTTTAGGTGCTATTTTAGTGACAATTTTGGCAACATTTTTTATGTACGTACGTTCATATATGGACATATGTATGTGTGCACAACGTTTTATTAGTCGAAAAGAATACCCATTTGCTTGCGTTAAAAAGCTCCAGTATATAAACATATGCTAAATATCTGCTGCGTCTCCTAAGCATTAAGTCTGCGGGTGCAGTGTTCCTTAAGTTTCCTCCATCAGCGTATATGCTGCTGTACCAAAACGCGGAAGTGAGTTTTTCGAGTAGCAGCAAAATGTCTTAAATAAATTTTGTCAACAATAATTCGTATTGCCAAATGGAGTTGACATTGTGCACACTGACTATTAAGTTTAAAGAAGGAAGTAGTTGCATATGTAAACATACAATACATACATACATACATACATACATATGAAGATACATTTTGCAGTATATTTATCTCCATTTTATTCTTCGTAACAGTTGCACACTCATACTCGTATACCGATGAGCGTTTGCCTTTCATTTCTAACCAATAGTTACAGAGGAGAGACAGAGGGAGAGAGAAAATGAGGGAGAGCGGGAGAGATCGGTTAAGTACTGCTGCTGCAAGTACAACTGTCTTTGCATTGCCATTTACGATTATTTATACGGTTGATTGCTAAAAGGATCAGATAACAGAGACAGTGCAGCGCGTAAATTTTAGGAGGGCTCTAAATATTGTAGTATTTTTTGATTTAATTTAATATTTCTTCTCCAGAATTTGAATGAGTGCACTTAAACAAAACTGGTTACTGATTATTTATAACTATGGAAAATAGACGGAGCTTCGTGTTTTATACTAAAGCAGACTACCAAATGTGTTATTATTTTAAATATATATATATAATTGGCGCTTTGTAATCGCTGAAGCGATTTTCGGCCGAGCTTCGCCTCTAATTTGTGGGTTTGCGTCTGGATGTTTTTCCAACAAATGTAGGGACCTACAGTTTATACTAAGCCGCCTTCGAACGGTTGATGCTTTATTTCATGTCATAAATACCCTGCCGAGCGTCGTCCGCAATTGGAAAATTTTACTAAATTTTTTATTTAAATTAATTTTCTATTTGAGTTTTTCCGAAAATTTAATTTTGGGTTTGGTACATTTTTTCGAAGATCGTAAAATTATTTATAGTAGGTAAAAATAAAAAATATATATAAATATATATTTGTATATATGTATGTATTTATTCACTGGCCCGTTGATCACAAATTTTTATGAATATCAGTAACTTTAAATGTTTTGGAAATATTTTTCCAAGCTCTCGTTCACCAATACAAGTGTTGATGATATTCCTTACATAAATTAAACGTTCTCCTATAGATATAGCTGGTTCTAAAACAAGGGGTTTGACTGAAACCAAACAGCTAGAAAAAAATTCTGCAATACTTTGATTAAACAGAGAGAGCTGACATTGGACGATCACAACTTTCATAAGAAAAGCGATCAGAAATGTTAGAGAAATGTCATATATAGTTGGTACTTTGTAGCCACTAAAGCGTCGAGCTCCTCCTCCACAAATTGGAGATGTGTTACACATCTTGATGTTTTTCTGTACATGCTGAGTCGTCTACAAACGGCCGCTCGATTTTTATGAGAAGCCTTTTCATTTCAAGTCGGTCAGCTGGACATTCTCTACGGAGGAGTGAACGCAATTACAAAAATAATTTTCTTTAATTTTTGGCTGTTTGTCGAACTGAGATCCGAACCGGAATGACAGTACGTAATAATTACCAATCACTTATTGGTTGTCTTAGGAAATTTAATTTTTTTCGGCGCTGCCACAGGACATATATTTTCTGGAAATGTAAAAACTGTTTTTATAATATTTTAATTTCCTAAAAAGGTACGAATATATGGTCTGAATCTGCTAAAAAATTTTTCACTCAGGTTCAAGGAAAGGTAC